CACGATCTTATTGAAATTGGGTCATGTTTACTTCCGCTGCTAGATGACCATCTTAACTACTGCCAGTGAATGGTGTTGACTAGCTACCTTCACTTTATTAGTTTATCAGTTCAAATTTTGGGATGGCTAACACAGCTCTTTTGTAGCTTTATGCAAATATCCAAAACAAACAATTGTTTATTCTGAAACAAAAATTTTCGAATTAGTAAGCAGATAATTTTGGTAATGGTCATTATTTCTATGTTTAAATATTAACTGTATATAATTGAGAAATGCTTTATGGTAATCAATGTTTGAGCTGTATACTTAATGAGCTTTTGCTCAAGCATAAAATTCACTAAATATCCTGCTCGGTATCACCATGCAGATTGAAGCTTCAAACAAAACAGATACCTCTTTGAACGAGTTTGAAATTTTGTATACTACTAAATCTTTTTTTTTTAATGATTACCATAAGCTTGCAGAAGAAAATGACAATCAGGCCTGGCCACCATGGCAATAAGACATCTGGAGATGAAACCAACTAGAGCAGAACCTGTAGAAACCTAACTTCATTGTTGATTACAGTCACTAATTGTAAATGGCTTTAGAGTCCACTAAATAATGAAATCGACCACTCAAAGTTGGAAAAGAAAGCGTTTTCCACGAGTCTAGTGATATTTAGGACAGCTGAGAGCCTTGCAGGATTAAAAGGTGGCCTGTTAAAACTGCCAAAGGCTGCTTAGAAACCAGAGGTGGAGTAGGATTATGAAACATTGTGCATGTACCAACAATATGTCACCCTGTTAATCATGAATGCAAATACGTGTTATTATGAATACTGGAGCTTCCAAGAAGAAATGGCGGTGTCAGTGCTATTGGCTAAGACGATTAATATGGGTAGTTGTATTGGCTGTCATCTACCAATAGCATCAATGTAAAGCAGGTTAACTGGCTAACATTCAAGAGCACTGGAAAGGAGGACCTGTATTATTTATTCAACTGTTGTAGGTAAACAATTGTTTCGAATAACTCGACATGTGAACAACTGGTGCAGTGCCTGAAGCTGAGTTTGGGTGGTCCAATGCTCAATTCTATAAAAACCTTGGTGAAAGAAACAGCTTGGTAATTGGGACAGTAATAAACATGTGTGCCAGTATTTTGATTTTGTGAAGTTTAAGGCTAAAAATAGCATAGAGTCCACAAAAACGTGGTCACTTATGATGGGCATACCCCAAAAAGGCATTAGCAAATTCTGAAATATTTGCTAATGAGTTCCTAAATAGGGTTTTGAATAAGCCCATTTCATAGATGTCAGGGACATTTCATCCTTGTATGAAGCCATTTCTGTTGCAATGAGCCTCAAAGGGGTCACAGTGGACAAGTTGTCAGGGAATTATAAGCCAACAGCAGTGGCTGAAGCTCAAAATGCTTGGTCCTTAGCTCCAATGCTACAAATATAGCCAAGTGTTGTGAGTGCTGTGGTGTAAGAGCATTTGTTACCAGTAGTTAGACAGAATTTTTAGGCCCTTTAATCATATACGCACCATTTCTGATGTCATGTTTGACAGATAGCCCCTGCATGAGATAGATGGAGTTACATTTTAACAATAGACTGCTTTGCTACTGGATAAAGAACTGTTTATATCATACCATTCAATAAGAGTTTTTCTTCCAGCCAGCTTCCAGGAAAGTTAATATCAAGCTATAGCTGTTCCAGCTACTTTAAACTAATAAAGTATCGATTGGTTCTGGCCACTTACTCAGAAGAACACAGCAGTTTACTTGTGTTTAAAGGTGTGTTTGTTAGTTATGAACCTCTGAACTGGGCATGACTTACTATATGCTCGTAAAGATACATATGCATATGATTGAGTTTCTTGTAAACACTGGTGATAGCCACAAATTTGCTAGAACTGACAATGTATCAAATACTCTGAATAGAGCCACTTCTCTAGCCAGTCAGTACTGACAGTGTTTTGGTTGACAGGGATAAATTAGAGGTGAATGACGTTCCTCTCAAATTTGATATTTCTTGTAGAATGAAGATAATTTTCCTTACATTGATATTAAGCAGTGGTACCTTAGGCCTATATTTATTTGCTGTTAGTGACCAACGATCTAAAAATGCGGTTACTCAAAAGTTTTATTAAAGCTGCCCAAAACAATTGTTGTTGCTTTGTTTCACGTAAATATTTAGTACGAAATGGTTGAGAATGAAATGGAGCTGAAATATCACGAATCCCGCTTCCTGTGTTCAATAGACCCAAATCTGTAAAATGAAATTATAAGTTCTATAACTCTGAATATAATAAGTTAATATTCATGACCTTGTGCATGCTTTTAGTATATAAATGAAAGCTGTTATCAAGAAAAAAAAAAGACTTTTTATGCAATATTTGTACTGAAACTTAGATCTTGAATTTCACCAACTTTGCCTAGACCAAAAATAACAACAACAACAAAAAAAAATTGAAAGATGATTTTCAGGCTAAGAATAAAAATAATTTTATTCAACATACAGTTTTCCTTCTAGGACCTTCTAAATAAATCCCAATATGTTTAAACAGAAATATATAACAAGAAATTTGAAAATATACTTAAAAATAAATATTGGTAGTACTTTCTGTTTGTTTTTCAGCAAAGCCACATTGGGTCATCTGCTGTATCCACTGTGTGAAATCGAACCCCGGATTTTAGCTTACTGCTGCCCCACTGGGGAACAATACTTTCTGTATGATCCGTTTGTCCTAATGTACCAGCTGCTCCCTAGGCCTAATCCTGATAGTTCCTCATAAATACTGGATTCGAAAAATAACTTCTCTAGTTTTAAAAATGTGACTTAGAACATACAACAACATATCAGTTTCTAGAACAATATTCTAAAACTACCAGCAATTTCTCACGATTCTACTTCAATTATAACTAGCTCAAAAAATTAATTTCCCTCTTGCATTTATACTTTGAACTTGATTCTTCAAGAAATGTTTTTATTTATTCCGATGTTTCAGCTTACGCTTTTTTCAAGGGTCTTTTAGCATTACAGGTTACAAATTTGATTCTTAAATGACAGTAACCGTTTGGCAACATTACAAGTTATTTGTACGCAAAATATCAGATTTATTTTAGTATGTCTTAAGGTTTTTAAGTAAGGTTTTTCTGGTGCCTTTTTTCTTTTCGCAGGTTGCCTATTCAACATGCAAAGTAATTTTCATTTTAAGATTGAAAAGTACTTTTATGAATCAGAAAATTTTCAAATTTCACGTGCAAAATCTTTATAATGTCCAGATAGTTATCAAATGTTTCTTAAGAAAAACTTTATATTTTATCTGTTATTTTTAGTAATGAATCTCCGTATGGGTTCAGTAGATTTGACAGATATTGTAACCACCATAAAAAATTACGAAATAAATATAAACTATGCCTCTTCCATTCTAGAATGAACACATTTTATAACATGAAAACATCAGTGTTTAAACTAAATAGCTTAAATCTCATAACTCTATACAAATATATATATTTATTATTTTTATTCTATTGTCCTTTCAGCTTGTCAATATTGGTAATTTGAGTTTTTAATTCGTACGAAACTATAGACTGAGTATTTTGACTTCACAAACATCTAATTTGAACCAGTGCTGCATTTAACATACCACGTGACATACAAAAAATCAATGTTTATCTGTGTTTTTAATATTTACTTTTCAATTAAGAAATTGAGTATTGTATAGCACTAAAATGTGAATTATAATCTACAGTTTCATTCCAAACTTGTTCATATAAATTCATGAAATAGTAGTTCAATAAAATTTTGAATGAGAGTCAACAAACGAGATGATATGGCCTTTCACCTGTGACCTAGAATGTAAAATAAGAAGATATTTACTAAGATATTGCTAACATAATAAATCGAACATAGTGGCACCCTGCTCACCTCTTTCCATTTTTGGAAATGCTCCCTTATAAACACACTTCTATATATGACATGAATAACCAATCAAAAGCTCAGAATGTCCCCCTATTGGTTTCCTAAGCCTTTCTAATTTACCTAGCATCATTTCTGTCTTTTAAATCAAGATTTCAATGAGGTACGCTGTGTCTTTAGTCTGCTTGAAATTTCATATTTTTTTTTAGACCCAAATGCAGCTCAGTTACTACGTTTGATAAGTTATAGTAGAATTCTGTGGTATTGATGTAGTAATTTATGATTTTTTAGCTATTCAAAAGTATATATAAAAACCTAAAAAATATTTTCTTTCATGTCCTCCAAGTACAAAATTTTTAAAGACTTAGCAACCTACATCAAGCAGCAACTGAATTAAAAGGTTGTAACTGGAAGAGATAATTGTTTGCTTTACTTCTTTATTTACTGTTCTACGTTTTAGGAAAACTAACTTGAAGAACTTATTTCAAAATAGCAATAATCTATATAATGATTTAAATGTGACTGTATTTTACAAAATACTAGTTGACTAAAACAGTAAATTGGTAAAACTAGTGCATAAACTTGAAATATTATTATAATTGATACTTGAAACTGTTGATACTTGGTGAAACTCCATAGTTACAGAATTGAGGAATTGTACATTTCACAAATACATCATTTATTACGATCATGGTTTTGCCAGTAAAGGCATCATCAGGTACAGACTGAAATGTTTTGTAGCAGGATTTATATATATATGTTTGATCATGATTAATTTCAACATTAGCGTGTAAGTTGGGCAGAATGTAATATGTATTTGTATATTGACATTAAATCAATGAAAAATATTATCTTTTATGTAATTGATTGTTTTTTTATGTTGACTTTATGTGTTAACTTTTTTTTAATCTTTCTTCCAGCATTTATTTAATCATTAACAGTCTACAGAAACATAGATTCCTGATACGCAGAAATTATACTGCTCAAAGAAAGAGTATCATTATCATGTTTATTTTTTATTATTATTGTTGTTTTACCAATTTCTTCTGTTTATTAGGTACAAAGCATGAAGTATGTTTATATTTGTTCTATTAAGGCTATGAATAGGTCTCTACCTAATGTGATCCTTGGTGGCTATGGTACATCTAGCACTGGTACAGGTAAACCGATGGCTGTGACAGGAACTCACACTGAGGTCAACATTGATCAGACTGTTCAGCTGATCCAAGAAGCTAAAAACATCATCATTACACCTGGCTATGGTTTATGTGTTGCTAAAGCTCAATATCCTATTGCCGAGATGATTAGTGTTTTGAAAGAGAAGGGAAAAAATGTAAGATTTGGCATCCATCCAGTAGCAGGTAGGCTCTATTAGTGTTCTTTATAATATCTTATATTCTAAATTGTTTATAAGACTTCAAATTAATAATATGCTTTACATTACTTCATTTGCACCAGAAATTTAGCCTTTATTAAAAATTTTCAGAACTTTCGTTTTTTTTAAATCAGTTTTCTCACCAACTTATTTGGTGATGTGGATCTTGGAAATCAAGTTTTATTAGGTGGAAAACTATATTTTCTTACATAGTTTTCATTAGAAATATTCTTCTCACTTTAAAATGATCAGTAATTCAACATAATTCGTATTAAAAAATGTGCTTATCATCTTGAGTATCAGGGATTGAACAATTCATTTGAAACTGCATATGCAGTTGTGTACAAAGAGTATGGATGAAAATTAGTTTAAAATATAAAAACTGTCATGTCCTAAATAGTTTTATCTTGGCTGTCGAGGAGTTAAGTTTGTTTTCAAAATGTTAAGCAAATACTTTTATGTATTTAATTAAGGGATATTAGAACTTACAAATTGTCATTTTGTTACACAAAGGGCAAAAGCCTAGTGATATTACATGTTTGAACTGTGAGTCTAAGAATTCATAGTTTGTGACTTTTTTTTTTTTTCATGTATCTGTTCCTGTATAAGTCATGCTGCATGAGCTATTATGATCATATTTTACACAGTATATAAAACTTCAAAATAATATATATTATTTAATTTTGCATATGTAAGGAGATATTCTGAATTTTTTAAGAAAACTTGCATAAATGTGTTTTCAGCCTCTTAAAAAGTGCAGAAATATGTTTTCAATCTGTACAGAAGTTAAAAGTATATATATTCTTAATTTGTAACAATGTTTAGAAGATATGTTCTTATTCTATAAAAATGTTTAAAGGATGTATTCTCATTCTGTATAAAAGTTTGCAAAAGCTATGCTGTCTTTTGTATAAAGGTTTCAGGGATATATGGTAATGGTATTAAAATTGTAATGTAGGCTATAAATTCAAACATAGTATTTGACAGGCAAAAGCTTTCAGTCATGATATACCTAAATTCATAAGAAATGAGTAACAGATATTCAGATTTATATTCTTTTATATAAGACAGAAAATTAATAATTTCATTGTGTTATAAAAAGCTCAGTCTTTGTAGTAAAAAATAATAATTTATTTAATGTTTCTTGTATGAAGTACAATTTATACTGAAATATGAAGCTTTCTAAGCAATATGTTTTTGCTTAAATAAGTGACTTCTAGATCTCCAATTATGTGGCTTGTTTACTTAAAAACTATGAATGATTAATATTAGTAGTTTCTTATTATTTTTTATTCACTACCATGTACAGTATATTTTATAGATCTCTATTCTGCCATTAGTCTTAGACCAAAGATTTCTTGATATTTGATACTAGAACTTTAGTTCAGGTAGCCACTTGACCACAATATAAAAATTATTACAATGAATGATGAAATTAAAGTTTATTTCCTCAATAGATACTTCAGCTTAATGATGAAGGTTATTTATTAATTTGTGAAGCACATTAAGTGCTTCTTACTGGTATTGTCTGGATCATTCATGACCATAAATTGAACAAGGGTAAAGTTTATATAATATTTTTTGGATAATCAGGTTTTCTAGTGTTTTGAAAATTAAGAACTCTAAGCCTTTTTCTTTAAATTTATATTAAACACTTGAAATCATATACAATAGGTCGTATGCCTGGTCAGTTAAATGTCTTGCTTGCCGAGGCTGGAGTACCATATGACATTGTGCTAGAAATGGACGAGATCAATGATGATTTCCCTGAAACTGATTTGGTCCTTGTAATTGGAGCCAATGATACAGTGAACTCAGCTGCAGAAGAAGATCCAAACTCTATAATTGCTGGTATGCCAGTTCTTCGAGTTTGGTTATCCAAACAAGTAAGTTTTTCAATCGTACTGTTTCATTTTTTTATTAGCCTTACATTATTTATCATAATAGGAAGAAATTTGTGTATTGTATATTATGTTTTGAATGATGTGATACAGTAATTACCTAATGGATATTATTTGAACGAATTAACTCTGGAATTACTGATGAGCTACTATATAGACCCCATCAACCTTTCAAACACACTTTTCTAAATTATATCTGCACACAATTGCTTATGGATTTTGTACTTTGTTGATTACAGGGCTCTGAACAACACATGAGAAAAAAAAAAAGAATACAAAGTGAAATACCATGAGTATTGCATTTAATCCCATTGGGATATTCTGTTTATTTCAACTTTTTTCTTTTGGCTAGTTCTTTATGTTAAGTGTTATAACAGGCAAGAGCAAAATTCCTTAATATGATGCAGTATGTGGAATGGACCACTAGGGAATGGTATAAAAACAAATCTGTAACATTGAGGGTTAAAAATTCAATGGATTCTTGTGTTTTTTTTTTCTTTGAATAATACAGTAGTTTCTTCTGTGAATGTTTTTGTTATTTTTTATATAGCAATCAGTGATTTTTATTTGGAGTTTTGCAATAGTTTCTGTTACATCTAGGAAAAAAATACTTGTATAAATATGATGTCTCTCCATTCAGTGCTTCTTAAAGCTTATCTTGGATTGTAAACCATTTTCAATTTGTATGTGTCAGAATCACTGACAGAGGTTCTGATTTTATTCACGTTGCCACCTAGTTCTTGGACCTAATTACTAAACTTGTAGCAAAATATTATACATTTGTATAAACCTGTGTGTTGTGTTTTATAAACTGATTAAAGTTCATCTTTACTGATGAGCTACTATATAGACCCCATCAACCTTTTAAACACACCTTTCTAAATTATATCTGCACAAAATTGCTTATGGATTTGGTACTTTGTTGATTACAGGGCTCTGAACAACACACGAAATAAACAAAATATCTCAATGGGATTAAATGCAATACTCATGGTATTTCACTTTGTATTCTTTTTTTCTCATGTGTTTTTCAGTTGCCCTGTAATCAACAAAGTACCAACTCCATAATCATGTTGGTGACTTAACTGTAAGAAGTTGATGTATTTTGAAAACTTTGTATTAGAGGGAAAACAAAGTACACATTTTAATATTTTAAATATATATATTTTTTATCTATCCAATAGGTTATTGTCATGAAAAGAACCTTGGGTGTTGGATATGCAGCTGTGGACAACCCCATTTTCTACAAACCAAACACTTCAATGTTGTTGGGAGATGCAAAGAAAACGTGTGATGCACTACTAGCCAATGTCCTCAAATCTTATGAATCTTGAGAATTATTAGTTTGTTAAAATCCTTGACATTTTGACTGTTTATTGTATGGTAGAATGAAAGATGGAAATAGTTTTTATATACAACTCAAAATAGATGATCTGCAATTTTATATTCAAGTACTTGGATGTGTAGGATTTACATTTATATCTCAGACAGCATCAAGATCACCAGAAGAAATTTTGTATTGAGTTTTATGGTGTACCTGTAGAAAACCTTACTTCAGTTATGTAAAATTTTTGAAATAATAGGTTACTTATTAGCTATTTTGAGTTTTTTTTTCCTTTATAGAATATTCTATATGTTCAGAATTTTTCAAAAAGGTGCCTTTGTAATCAAAACATGCCAGCCTAAATTTCTTTAGGATCCAAGTTTTAGTTCTTGTAGTATGAAAATCAAACCAATGTTGCTATTATATGATAAAAACTATGATTCACTATTCATCTGTTAGTTTTCTAATTAGTAGTCTGTCATGTTCTGTTAGGGACAAAGTTTAAAAAATGTTTTATGTTAAAAAATTCCTTTTAAATTGTCAGATAAATAAATTACATCTATTGTTGTTTTTTTCTCTTCTAGGTATATGTATTACTTTTTATAGGAACCTTTTTTTTTTTTAGAGAGTATGCAAAAAACATAACTAATGTATAGGTATATAAACAAGTCATTGCCTAAGGTAACGAATGTAACAACAGTTACTTTTGGACGTTTTTATTAACACATCTATTGGAGTACAACCTTAAAACATATTGGAAATTTTCCCATGATGGTGTACAAAAATGTACTTATACCAGACAAGTAAGTTTAATTAGATTTTTTTTAAACTTCTTGAAATTCCTCTTTAATTCTTAAAATTGGAAGAAGAATTTTTAACATTTACTTCACTGGTGATTAATGTCACAGCAAATAATTTAAACTTAAAGAAAATAAAGGTACAATATTTTCCTTGAAAATTTTTAGCCCTACGTTTGTCATTAAGGAATAGCAACATGTACATGTCTTACAAATATTTGGATATATATGTCATATGCACACACACACACACATACTATTTTCAAAATGCAATAAAATATTAGAAATAATATTTTGAATGATTGAGGAAGAAAGATATTTGGAGTATTATTTCTTTATAAAATCAAAATAACAAGACACATTTGTTCAAAGAAATCTTCACGAAAAATGATAGATTAACAGTAACTTTATCAAAACATTAAGGAAACTTAAATATTCCTTCATAGATTTAACATTCTTTAGTTTTTTATAAGTTTTCCTTTCAAAGTAAAATAACTTTTATATAAAAATTGTTGAACAACTTTTGTATACTACCACAGATTGTACCAAAAGTAGGATAATTACCACATTGAAGCAAAGCTAGTTTTATAGTTTTTTGTTTTATCTTTTGCCAATTTTTGTTATGTTTTACCATGTGTGAAGTAAAAAAAGTTATTTTTTGGGTTATATTAGCTATTGTAATTTAATTATTTTGTACACCAAATATTTTATTAGAAAATTTAAGAAACTGTGGATGAGTTAATTATTACATTGGGTTTCAAATTTAATACTTGTTTCTATGTTCTTAAAAACTGGTACCTTTCAGATTGTAAACAGCAGTTTGTAAACTGAATACATCTATGGTCACCTTGAGTATGTATATAAAGCTTCAGAGAAGATTTGGCTAGATAAAAATACTTGAATAGTATTAGATAAGAAGTCAGTGTTAAGTTTTACTGTTGACCTCATTATCTTTAGAAACTCAACCGTTTTTACAGCCATGAGTTGTATGAATATCTTTAAAAGATGAATTAATTCTGCTGTACTCGCAGATTCATGGTTACATGGCTAGGACAAGTAGTTACTAGAATGTGGTTCTTTAGGTAAATAAAGTAAATATTGGAATATTTGAAGTGCATTGCTTTGGCTTTAATATTAAGAAATCTGAAATGCTCAAACTAGACAGTGAAAACTATGATGAGTGTTAGGAACTTATACTAAGTAACATTGCATGCTATAACAGACTGTATACTAAATTTCAAATAACTGTGCATTTGGCAAATTACCAACTAAGTCTAGGAAATGAAGGTGAAATTTTAGGAAGTTTAATTTTAATGGAATTATTTATCATTGAAACGTTTGTTCAAAATAAGATAAGTAAACTGACTGACACTTTATTAAAATCTCTAACTAATATTGAATTGGACCACATCTTTCCTGGATTTGGAATTGACTACACAAGCTTTCAAAAGATGTCTTGTTCGATTGTAACTCATTCATTGAGGAGTATGGTTTGCAGTTGTTTTACAGATGTTGTAAAAGGATTATAGAAACAAATGGAACATTTAATATTTAGATCATCATACAGATGCTTAATCAGATTGAGACCTACAACTGTGCTAGCCAAGGAAGATGGCTGAAGCTACTTGTAGCTTTCAGACCATTATTGAACAATACATTATTATCATCATCTTGAAAGATCCCTTATCTGTGCAGTAGAAATGGAACATTGTGAGAGGACTTGAACAGTGACAATACTTAGATACATTGTGGTCATACAAAGGATTTAAAGGAACCAACCCCTGACACAAGAATATTTCTATACTATTGCATCACTACCATCAGTTTGTATTGTTGGGACATACAGTACTGTGCAAAAATGTTAGGACAAGAGAATATTTTGCAATTCTTTCCATTTTATGGGACTAATTCTTCCATGCTATTACAGAATGTAAATTTTAACACTATGTTAATGCTTCACTAATCCATGTTTATAATTGAATGAGCCAGGGTGAGAATACTTATCATTCTTTAGAATTCCTATATAATTGTACCAAGGGCATATTGCAAGGATTCTGCTTGAATGAACATACTGATCAAATTTAGGGCCTGAAATAACTGTCATGGTACCCCCTGCTGTGTCTTAAATATATAGAAAGAAACTAGCATATGGTACCAGTATATGGTAGGAGAAATCAATTTAATAGCATTCCACAAATAACCCTTGATATAAACAGTGTTTAACACTATATATTAAGTTTTATTATCATGCCAAAGCCCAAAAAGAAGAGAATTGTCAGTAGAGCAGAGGTTTCCATAAATGCCTTACGTGATGCTGGTTGAACTCTGACAAATTGCTGCAGTCTTGAAGCACTATCCAAACATTGTCAAGTACACCCTAGATAGTGAGACCGAGACAGGTAAATTTGAAAATAGGAAAGGAAGAGGCAGAACACTTAAACCCAATGATACTGATTTTAAGCATCTTCGT